CTTCAGGAAATTTTACAGATTATCAGTAAACATTACAAGGCTTTCGTATGCAAAATATCAGGTATTTTATTAAGCTTTAAGATTTTTTAAGTAATGTTTTTCTCATCTTTTTTTCTTTTCGAATATTGACTATCGAACATGCAAAGTAATTTTGATTTTAAGATTAAAAATACTTTTATGCATCAGAAAAATTTCAAATTCCACATGCGAAATCTTTATAACTTCCAGATAATTATCAAATGTTTTTAAGGAAAAACTTTATATTTGATCTGTTATTTTCACTATCGGATCTCAGTATGGGTTCTGTCGATTTGGCCGAACTCGTAACCACCATATAAAATTTGCCCCCCCCCCCTGTGGCACAGCGATATGTTTGCGGACTTACAACGCTAGAAACTGGGTTTTGATACCCGTGGTGAGCAGAGCACAAGTAGCCCATTGTGTAGCTTTTTGCTTAACTGCAAACAAACTAACTAAAAAATTAGGAAATAAATATCAATTATGCTTTTTTCGTTCATGAATGACTACAAATTATAACACGAAAAAAACAAATGTTTAGTCTAAATAGCTTAAATCTCAAAACATTATACATTTATATATATCGTAACCACCATATAAAATTTGGGTCCCCTAATGGCACAGCGGTATGTTTGCGGATTTACAACGCTAGAAACTGGGTTTTGATACCCATGGTGAGCAGAGCACAAATAGCCCATTGTGTAGCTTTGTGCTTAACTACAAACAAACTAACTAAAAAAATTAGAAAATAAATATAAATTATGGTTTTTTTAGTTCATGAATGAATACAAATTATAACACGAAAAACAAATGTTTAATCTAAATAGCTTAAATCTCAAAACATTATACATATATTTTTATTATATTGACCTTTCAGCCGTATCTGGCTAACATTACAGAAGTTTCAATGACGCGGGCGCACGTGCACTCATGTTACCGTATCCAAGAGTATGAAACTGGCCCTTACAAAGTGACCTGTCTTGGCTGTGTTTTAGTGAACTAGTATTTTGTAAAATACAGTCACATTTCAGTTATAATACATTATTTATGTATATACATTATTGCTATTTAGAAAAAAGTTCTTAAACTTATTTTTCTTAAAACATATAACAGTAAATAAAGAAGTAAAGCAAACAATTATCTCTTCTAGTTACGAACTTTGTACTCAAGCCGTCTCCAGCCATTATTAGTCTCAAAGTGGGTTCCTCGTCATCGAATTTGTACTCTAATGCTGCTTGACATAGGTTGCTAAGCCTTATTAAATTTCGCACATGGAGGATGTGAAACGAAATAATTTCTTAGGTTTTATATATACATTTTGAAATAACCAAAAATCATAAATTACCATATCAATACCATAGAATTCCACTATAATTTATCAAGCTTAGTTACTGTATTTGGGTCTAAAAATATACGAAATTTCGAGCTCACTAAAGTCTTATCTTACCGGTTGGAATCTAGCATGAAAAGAAAGAGTTTGCCGCCAGAACCCTTCATAGTGGCTGAGAAAACCGCTAGGGGGACATTCTGAGCTTTCCATTTGTTATTTACACGTCATAGACAGAAGTAGGTGTTGGTAAGCAAGTATTTCCAAAAATGGAAAGAGGTGGACGGTGCCACTGTGTTTGATTCAGTAAATGTAGCGATATTTCAGCAAATAGAAAAGATAGGAGATTTTTATTTTATATTCTAACTTGTCAATATCGGTAGTTTGATTTCCTAATTCGTAAGAAACTACAAACTTTGTAGTTGGACATCACAAACACCTAATATGAATCAATGCTGAATTTAACATACCACTTGACACAGAAAAATAGATATTTAGGTGTGTGTATTTTAATATTTACTTTTAAATTTAGAAATTGACTAATGTATAGTACTAAAATTTGATTTATAATCTACAATTTGATACCAAACTTATTGACATAAATTCATAAAATAGTAGTTCAATAAAGTTTTGGCCCAATGACCAGCTGGTTAGGGTGCTCGACTCGCAATCTGCAGGTCGCGGGTTCGAATCCCCGTCCCACCAAACATGCTCGCCTTTTCAGTCGTGGGTGCGTTATAATGTGATGGTCAATCCCACTATTCATTGGCGGTGGGTGGTGATGACTAGCTGCCTTCCCTCTAGTCTTACACTGCTAAATTACGGACGGCTAGCGTAGAAAGACCTCGTGTAGCTTTGCGCGAAATTCAAAACAAACAAACAATAAAATATTGAATGTGAATCAGGAAACGTGATGACATGACCTTTGACCCGTGACATGCTTGTAATTAGTTCGATATTTCTAAGTGTTATTTGGAAGGAGTTTGGAATGTTGAAACTAGCGTATCACCAAGCAGAAGATTTTTCTAAACTAGACATAAGCTTATTACCAGGCAGAAGGCTTTTGGAAGAATGGAACTAGCTTATTACCAAGCAGAAGATTTTTGGAAAGTTGGGACTAGCTTATAACCAGGTAGAAAGCTTTTGGAAGTAAACATTTGTTTAGAATCAGTAGCCAGACAGAAGGCTTTAGGAAGAAAGACACTGGCTCGTCATCAGAAACATAGCTTTTGAAAGGTAGAGATTGACTTGTCACCAGCCAGAAGGCTTTTGGAAATTAGGCATTGACTTGTCACTAGGCAAAATGCTTTGGAAGGTAGATAGCGGTTTATAAGAAGTAACCTGAAGAATGTACTGATTGAATGAACATCTTTGTTGTGTTACTATTTACTAGCAATATTGAAATCTCTATGACTTAATTTTACAGGTGATAAAGAAAACCTAAAGATTAGTTTTTCTTCTGTCTTTTTATGCTTGCAAAACCTATTGCTAGTGCACTGAGTATTTCATATCATAATCCTGAAGATTAAACAGAAGATGCGCGTTTGTATAAATGGATGTCCCATAATTGAATAAACGAAAGACTAGTCGTCTTATAAACAACTGACCGTTGACTCTGTAAATAAACGTACGACTCGTGGTTATATAAAGGAATGACCCGTGTTTGTATAAATAGAAGGATCATGGTTATATAATTATATGATCTGTGGTTAAACGAACAGACGACCTCTGGTCATAGTTCTTCTATCTGTGTGATCTTATATTCGGTTTGGTACAGTTCCAAGCCCTTAATTAGCTTGGGTTTCTGCATTTTCATACTGGTTAATTAGCTCTTCTGTACACATCAGTAGTCTAACTAACATCAGGAGTCTAGTGGTCAGTTACTCCGGTATTCTGCCCAAATGTGAAAAGTGACAATGAAAACCATTCCAAACGTTTTTCTTGGGGCAATACCTGTCTGTTATCTGAGGTTAAGTCCGAGCTGTGGCCATAAACCGGGTCCTGATAATTCGGCACCTATATTCAAGGAACTGGAAAAGCAGTATCATAAATATATACTTTAGAAAGAAACTAAGATATGGTATAATTAAAAATGACATACAGTTGTGTATAAAATGTATTAAAGCACCTAAACAATTGTCATTTTATGAGCTTTACGCACAAAATAGTCGTTGATTTGCTATAGAAATTAACTTGTAATTACTGTAACTTAATCTTACAGGAAACCATTACAAAATTAGTACACAAATAATGTATTTAAGGTTCTTTAATCCTCATTTTTACTATGGTCATCTGTAGCGTCAATAAGAACTTGTTATCTTTGTGTCTGTTTATTTTTTCAAAGTCCGGTGTTGTTTGATTCCTTTCTTCTTGAAGCTCCGATACTTTTATCAACATGGAGTGCAGCAAATATCATATTTGTTCTATGGGGTTAAGATCTGCACTTGTGGTGGCCATTCCGATCGCTGGAAATCATCTCACCTTTCTTTTTTTACCAAATAAGTTTGGCATTTCTTGAATGTATGTTTGGGTCATTGTCTTCTTGAAATGTCAAATTCTGTCCAATCAGCTTCTTTCCATAGGATAATGTCTTCCATTGGGTCAACGGTAAGTTTATGGGATTTACAACGCTAAAATTCGTGGTTCGATTCCTTATGGTGGACAGAGCGCAGATAGTCTAATGTGTATCCTTTCGCTGAAACATTCAAACAATTACCATTGTCTTGAAATATGAAGTTCTACCGAATCACCTTCTTTCCAGAGGGTATAGCACAGCGGACTGTGATATTTGTACTGATCCATGATTCCATAAACTTTGTGAAGATTGCTGACACTATTCACAGATATTGTACCATAAAGTATCACAGAGCTTCCTACATATTCGACAGTTGGCAGAAGGCACTCCTTCTGTAATCTCTCATTGGCCCATTGACGAACATATACACGCCAGTCCGAACTAAAAAATTCAAATATATATTTATCTACCCAAACCACCTTGTGCCACTGTTTCAAAGACCAGGATACATGTTCTTTCGCACAAGATAGTCTCTTTGTGCAATAAGGTTCTTTCTTGCTCTACTCTCCCCCAATCATCTTACCTGTACGATTTTATGAGACTATCCTTGAACATTTTCTGTGCGTGAAACGCCATTGGTAACATTTTCACAGTTTTTCTTTCAGTTTTGAGGGTCTTTATTCTTAGATATTTAACACATCTTTCAGTGAGCCTTTTGCTCCGTCCCTTGCCATGTCTGATGGTATAGAACAGGGTTTTCTTGTATCTGTCCAATGTCTCCTTTACATAGCTCGATGAACAGACGAGGTCTTTTACAATAGTTCTTAAAGTTCAACTAAGCATCGATTATAGATTTGACTCTGACTCAGTTAAATAGTTGTTTCAGAGGATAATACTGTTTGTATCTGCCGCTTTCACATTATAATGGTGTTCTTATCCGTCACATTGAGAGCATAATGTTTTTGTATCCGACACTTTGACAGGATAATGATGTTTGTATCCGCCACTTTGAGAGGATAATACTGTTTGTATCCGCCGCTTGGACAGGATAATGGTGTTTGTATCGACCACTTTGAGAGGATAATGATGTTTGTATCCGCCACTTTGAGATGATAATGATGTTAGTATCCGCCACGTTGAGAGGATAATGTTGTTTGTATCCGCCACTTTGACAGGATAATGATGTTTGTATCCACCACTTTGAGAGGATAATACTGTTTGTATCCGCCACATTGAGAGGACGGCTAGCACAGATGGCCCCTCGAAGTGCAACGAACAGCAGCGGATTCCAATATAAATAAATTTGTACATAAATGTAACTTAAGTAATTTTCCTTGATAAGTAAAATCTAATCTAGCAGACTTAGGATCAAACTGAACGCTGATTTTATCACGATAAACCTTCATCGACTTCTTTGCTCTAATTGAGCAAGACACCTCCTAACATCTTATTGAGTGTTACCCTGGCAGAGGATAGTCCAATCAAATATTACGTTGAGGCCACGTGAAGTAGAAACTCAGTTGATTTTATACGATTTTCTGGATGATGACACTTACTGGTGTATATGTTTCTGATGATGACACTTATTGGTGAATATATGTTTCTGATGATGACACTTATTGGTGTATATGTATCTGATAATGACACTTATTGGTGTATATGTTTCTGATGATGACACTTATTGGTGTATATGTTTCTGATGATGACACTTATTGGTGTATGTGTTTCTGATGATGACACTTATTGGTGTATATGTTTCTGATGATGACACTTATTGGTGTATATGTTTCTACCAGGGTTCCATGGAGAGAGAGTTTACTTGTCTCCGGGGGCAAGAAAAACAAAATATATGTCTGGAAAAACGGAAAATGGAACAACTGAAACGTGAATTCAATTCGGTAAGTTGGCAATTTTTTTATTTCCTTTTCCATTGATTGAGTACAGGAAAATTCCTCATAAGTTCCCAATGCTGCAGGGAAAAAATAAAGCGTGCACTTTATATTAAAATTGTTTGAGAATGATTGGCGTATGTACTTCAGTAATTTATATGTTAAGCCTAAAGTGAGTCGACCTTGTCTCACCTTGACGGTTGGCCGGTACTAAACTCATTAGGTTTAATATAAGGTATAGTTTTGTCGAAATCACCGTGATGGAAGGCTAGTTCCAAATCGTTTAGATTAATTTTTGATATGAAAAAAGCCGATAAATGAAAGGAGACACCAGGACTGGAATACAGGAATTCTATTTGACAAGGTCAGTTCTCTACCACTGAGCTATTCAACATTACAAGCTGTCCATTTTAGGGTTTCTTAAATTTATTACGACCACCATACTATGCTACTATCAGGCAGTTAGTTGATTTATCGACATTCAACCAAATTGTACATACTTTGCGTGCGTCCGTATATATATGTCATCGTGTAGTGACGAAACGGAACTTACTATTCACGTCACTCGTTCACAGAAATATTATTTTTCACAATGAATGTAGTGATAAAAACACACAGTTAAAGCGCCCGAAAAGAAGATAACTGCCCCCCCCCCCACAGCTTAGAAAATATGGCACTCACATAAATTAACGTTACACATAATTAAGCTTAATGTGTTACACCTACATAATATTTTATTCGGAAAATTAACGGAAGAACTCGCGTTGCTTTTGTTGTTGTAATTTGATTTTAATTCACCAATCAATATTAAAGAGTAAGACAGTGGCCCAAAATTTGTAAGCCTAACTACCTAGAACCTGTCAGAAGTTGGTTTAATAGCAGAAGTAACCCGAATAGTCCAGTCGCTATATTCCATCAGAAAAATTCCGAAGCCTGTGAATTATAAGTTACGTCTTCAGGAATCGATCGTGGTTCACTTTATAGAAGACAAGTATTAAACATATTTCTTATGGCCTTGGTGATGCATTTCAGACAACGGGATGTATTAGGCTTATCATCACCTGCTTTATAATTTGCTGAGAACGTATTTAGTGTAATTTGTTTTATTCTATTCACATTTCTATATCTTTAATTATTTTTCATTAAGCGATCACCTCGCCTAGCACAGCGTATTTAATTGAATAAGAGGTATTATATTGTGTCGAAATTCCATAGAAAAACGTCGTAAGGAGAGATAGGCCTACCATAGTGATGATAGGGAGGGGATAGAACACGAATTTGTGCCTATCTGGATTTTTTGTCACAGAAAAAACCCAGTATTTCAGTATTACGACGGGCTTTTATAACGTGTAATTCGATTCGCAAAATAATCGAATGTTTCATTTAGTTACGTAATAGAAGTAGTTTGTACAAAACAAGATATACTCCGACTAAGGGTTTCCCACTTGGTAGATTCGATATGTTAATTACATCACTTGTTTTACACGTCAAGTGTAATATCCTTGAAAGAAAATAGGCCTAAAACACCAGGTTAAGGTGAGACATTGTTTTTCACAAAATTCATACTCTACTAATCGGGAAAGTTCCACTTCCTGTACAGATTGTTTAACACTCTTCCATTAGAAGTTGTATACGGTATCCATTCAGTTGCTAAAAGAAAAGGTTGAAGTTGACGATTTAATCTACCTAGCAAAGCACGGCTGCTGTTTGTTGCACTTACAATATTCCACGGCTGCTACTTATTCCATTTACCATATGCCACGTCTGCTACTTATTCCATTCACCATATTCCACAGCTGCTACCTATTCTACTTACCATATTCCGCAGCTGCTACCTATTCTATTTATCATATGCCATGGCTGCTACTTACTGTCGTTACCTTCTGCACTTATGGAGTTGTAAAATTATACGAATCGGCTGTGGTTCAGAAATACTTAAGTCTGAATGCTTCGTGTAGCGACCCATACTCAACGCGATTTCCTGGCTGTATTTTCCCCTAAAGGGGGGGGGGGGCTAAGGTCGCCTGGAGGGGTCACCTGTTTTAACCAGTCGCACCACTATACAGTAGTGTGTTGTCTGTCAGTCAGTCATTAGAGACTAAAATGACAGGTAAGGGACTCTTAACGCTGAAATTTGTATTGTCGTGACGTCAGTAAAACGTGCGCATACCATGAACCACGAGAATTATACACTCTGGAGGCTACAGCACAGCGTGACATATGAACTTCAAAAGCAATAAATAAAAATATTTGTTACACTTGACTTTGGTTTTATTTACTCTTGAAACAGAACACTTTCGGGAACCCTGCGGAAGTTCATCTGGTATCTAGGATTGTCTGAGAAATGTCTGCTTACAAGTGCAATAATTCTTTGTTTGGGTCTTAGATTTATGAATGTTTTTTTTAAAAGCCATCATTACTTGAGTGATCAATAGAGAATGTCTGGCCACCTATCGGAGAAGCAGCATGTTTTCAGGCGGCAGTGTGTTATTTAGTCAAGTGAACCGAGTACAGGTATTATTTGCGATATTTTGAGACCGTTGCATCTTTATGTGTGAGTAACGATCAATATTTTTGTTATTAAAGACTCTATTGTATTCCTAATGTAATAGATAAAATTATTCCCCCGTCAGTCTAGGATTCACTAAACACCTGTAACCGGTTTAGGTATTTTACGACCTATTTCTAACAGCACCGACAAACCGTATCTACCCGTATATAAGTCGAGAACTAAATTTAAGTAAGAAATAGAGGTGTTTTACAGGTTCCCCGTGCTCAAGTCGAGGGAAAAGTAAGACACGGCTTTTAATTTTAATTTTCGATCATGCTTTCGTTAAGTCTGCCATATTTGTTTCCTCTTGAGAAGTTGTATAGACTCGCCCGGGACTTTACTCCTAAACTCTTCTCTGGTACGTTCTAAAGAAGGAGGGGGGGGGGGGTTGAAACTATGGACTGTGGACTTTTAAAAAGATTATTCCTCCGACCGACCGACCCAAGAAAATATTCGTAGGACGGGTTACGGCAAACAAACAGTCACTTTAGGCCAGCCTCAGGGTACTTAGCTGACATAAAATGAAAGAAAAAGGTTATTAATAATGTTGTAGATGTTTTAGCCCGAGATAAGTCGAGGATAGAACTTATTGAGCAACAATTATGGTCTAAAAGTTCGACTTATACAAACAGGCTATCGTGTTGCCTAGGTAATGAACGGTTGTGAAAAGAAGGCTAAAAATGACACTCTTTGGGTTGATAACTTGATCATTCAGCCAGTTGTTGTTGTTTTCTGAACTGCGAAAGAATTTTAATGTGTGTTTCAACGATCCCATTTTGCAAATCGGACTTTTAACAGCAAGTAAAAACAGGATTTATGTCAGAAAGTATCCGTCTTTGTAACTGTGTTTAACTCAAGAACATGCAGAATTTGAGTTACGATTCAGAAGATTAGGGAAGTCGTGGCTGTATCGTATTGTTACATTTTCCTTTTTTCTATGTTTTTAATTACGTTTAACTCAAGAACATACGTGGCTGTAGATAAGACCTTCGTGTACGTGGATTTTTATCCTTATTCTTTTGTCACGTGGCTGTAGATAAGGCCTTCATGTACGTGGTTTCTTTGAATTTATTGTTTAACATTAAACTTCCAAGTCATAAGACAGTTGCAACTTGAAATATAATAATTAGTGGTCCCAGGCCAGGAATAGTAAATAGATTATCTTTGTACAATGCATGGTCCCAGGGTAGGAATAGTAAATAGATTATCTTTATACAATGCATGGTCCCAGGGTAGGA